TGGTGCGGTGGGCCAGTGCTCCCAGTTATCATCAAGCTCTACTCTGTTGGAATATATCGCAAGTTCAGAACTTATGTCAAGGCCCAGTGGTTGAGAGGAGATCAGTGGTATTATTGTAACAGACGAATTTTACAGTATTATTCTCGGTCACGTGTGTTCAACTCTAGGGCATCGGTGCCGAGCAGCTCGTCATACGTGGGCGTGTCTCAGAGCCTATATCCGGATATAACATTTTTCTAATGTATACTATTCTACGGCATCGGCGCTGAGCACTTCTCTATACGAGAGTGTGTCGTAGTGCTCCTATCCTGATATATATTTACATGTATACAACTCTAAAACCGTTACACATCAGTCTGATTGAGGTCTCTGTAATCTGGGATGGACTATGGAGACCGACTGTCGACTCGCATGCCATGCTGTAGTGGCATAGGCGAGAAAGAGGGTGGCCCTTTCAAGAATCAAGGCGACACATTCTTCTCCATTTTGTCCATTTCGGCTAGTCGTTGAATCACACACTCTGGTATTATTGCGTTGTCTCGTATCATTTCGATAATGTACAGAAAATTTCCTAGAAATCTGCGGAGATCATTTCCGCAGTGTAAATCCCAACTTGTCCAACCTAGTCCTCCCACACTACTTTCTCTGTAGGTATGCCTACGTGTATGGTACAGCTAATAGGTCATACGTTGGCCTCTATTTTGACTATGTACAAAACGCATCACAACCTGAGGGAAGGATTGTATATAACTGCGGCACAGCCGCTGGCAGACCCAATGGTTTGGTTGAGTAAGTGTGGGATTACAAGCCGTATTATTCAATATCAATATAGAATGTTATCAACTACTCGTTCATGACCTATGGACACTTTCCAACTCATCGAATAATCTATAGACGGTCTATACTCGAGTGTTAATGATAGAGCTATCCAGCTTTTTGCTGGTATAGGAGTACTGCTATCAGGAGAAGAAGACGTTCCTGATGGATGTCCTTCTTGAGAAGTTGAGTTCGCGTCGATCTACCACGTAGTTCATCATAGTATCCGGTATCGTTCGCGGCCCTTTGCAGATACCTACATGGCTTGATACAGTTCGTGAGTCCTAATGACTGTCACTACGGTGCTACGCAGCTTTTGAAGTCTGTGGTGGCGAGGGAGAAGAACCCTCCTTTTGGGCTAGGGGTAGGTCAAAACGCGCATCATCTATACGTTAGAATTACATCAGTTGAGCTCTCGAAACACATATTCGCGAAAAAATCGAAGTTCATGTTTTCCAGGGAAAATATGAAAATAAGCTTATCCGTACCCTTTATCGAGTGTTCCGGTTGTGACTTTCTTGCAGTCGGGAAATGTTGAAATAAAGCTCATGCCGGGATTCCCGGCCCGGGAATCGAACCCGCAACCCTTACGAAGGTCTAGTATCGAATTAAGACTTTTCATATAGGTTCTCACTCAATTCCAGGAGGGCAAGGAGGTTCTGGCGTTTCTGCCGACATTTTCTAAAGACGGTTATGATGCGAATTTGCAGTTTTTCGTGAATAGCATGCAGGCAGGCGCGCCGTGGGAACGGAGCTCGCAGTGGTGAGTGGGCCTTCACGCGCCACAAGATTAGTGTATTTTCGTGGCGCGCGGTCAGGTATAGCAGCCCAGAGCACTCCACAACCCATGGCATCTACTGTTCTCAGAGTGAATATCTCATGCTTGTCGATGTCCCCTTTGGTGAGCCACATCGAATGGCACAACCGTTGATCACTGTCGGTCTCCAGCATATCCGTCTGCGTATAACCCTTGGGATCTCACGGGCCCGATGGTGCCTCCTGTGAGGTTGAATATGACCACACAAGGGGGACTGGTTGTTCAGCTGAATTCTGAATCGACCAACTCGTTGACCGCCTTGAAACGTGTCGACTTACCGCTTAACAAGTAAGTTCCACTGGGCCTTCCCGCGGAGCTCCCTATGTGTTACGTATGAACTTTGCTCTGACGCCTCTGTAACGCGGAATAGGTCTCTGGTTCGAGTCCCAGGCTCGGTATTTTTCATGAAGATTATTGTTTTTGAATCCGGAGATTCACCCCATGAATATTACTATACTCTTTGGATTGAATCTTTTGCCGTGTTCAAACTCTCCCTGGTTGAATGCCAATTTGAGTCATACCACTACTACTTCAATTTCGTGATCACCTTCGATGTGATTTATTCCCGAGTGGCGGAGGCCTTGGGACAGTGTAATCCGCGGATGCGTTGTGATGTCTTAGGCTTGTCGCCTTGTGCAACTTTTCGTAGTGGAGTAAGCCATAATATATTCCAACACTGTAATTGATAAGCTCCGTTGAATACCTATGCCTTAGCTTTATCTGATGGAATTGTATCTCTTTCAGTGTCTCGGCGGAGTCCGTAGGAGGTGCCGGTAACAACGTCGCTGGAGCTTCCACTATAGTGGACTTTGGAGGCTTCCCATCTCCCTCAGCTATGCCTGGCAATGTGGCTGCGGTCTCGACGTTTGCCACACTACGATGTGAGTCGATACTCGCATTGATATGATGATGTTATGTCGTTGTTCAGGCCAGTATGAGAGCGCTGTTTCTTCTTTGCTTGACTGCAGTTTCAGCTACACAAGTGAGAAGGACGCATGTTGTGGTTCTCCAGTATACTAGAGCAGTGTTGGAATATATGCTTGGTTTACTCAGCTGAACTCAAGAGTTTCCTATGAAATTTAAACACGATTTAGGGTAGAAATGTACTAGCCAAAATATTCAGAGAGTTCTCATGTTGTCATCAATACACGTAGTTTACCATGTGCATATTTTCCCACACTCAATTAGTGATCGGTGGATGCGAAGATCCTGCATTCTGGCATTTGCACAGTGAAAATATTTCCCACCTTTCGCATTACACCAGCGTCAGTGTTTACTATTTCAGCCGATTCGGAGCCGCTGAGCAGAGTGGCGCAGTTCTCTCGAAGTGCTTGTTCTGATATGATCGGGAACAATGTGTGGTCGCATATGGAACACTCTGAGGATCTCAGTATGGGCTACCCTGAAATTTCAGAGGCTAGTAAGCTGAGATGATATCGATCATTCGGGCGAGCGCTAATGACGTAGGTTCGGGATATTATGATGACTACTGTTTGAAGGAGTTCGAAGATGGACGGCTCGTTTGGTCGATGTCAATGCTGCCGTTGGAATGTCGGAACACCGAGTAAGTCACTGTGTTGTTTGCACGCATGCACAGGTGGTTTCAGTCTCAAAGGGCAGGGCCAGGCGGCGTATATGGTGTTGCGAGGAGTTCCTAATGTGGCTTGGTATCTGTATGGTACATATCCTTCTGCTGGTGACTGTAACTCTAATACGGACTGGGATGGGAGCATATTTCAGCAAGTGCAACAGGATTGCAATTCGAGAGAAGGAAGTAAGCTCGTGTGCGTACTTATCTGAGCTCAGGAGTTTATTTAGGGATTCGAGTATAAGTATTACAAACCACGAACAGTTTTCTACCAGAAATGTAAACATGAAAATTTCCCAAGAATTTCCATATTGTCACCAACACGATGTGTATACTCAGCTCGCTTTAGGTTGGGTATGTGTAGCACCGGGCGCTTGCACAATTGAAGTAAAACCGACACCACGCACTGACTTCACCTGGGTGGCCTATGTCGTTGTCATCATAGTAAGCAAGCACATCTCTCGTTATGTGAACTATTCATATAGGTGGTGGCGATCATAGCTGCGTCTCTGCTCATTCGAGCAGTGTGTTCTCGAGACGGTCTCACTTCAGCTGGCGCTGTATTAGATGCCAAGTCCTCGGGAGGTGGTCTCTGAATGGCAGAAATAGTGACGATTATGGTTTTGTGATCAGGTGTGGTGACACTGTCTGGAGGTTCCAGCACTGATTCTGTCAGTCAAGCTCGACTACGAAGGGAAACCCAAAGGTAGGACGTTATGACGGTTCTCCAATATCCTTTGAGTTAAACGAACACCGTCTGATCTCACGTAGAATGTGAGATTAATAACAGCTTAAAAGATCTATGTAAGTTCAACAGTATCAAACTAGCACACTCGACACTGCATACACAATACTAAGTAAATTGTGGGGGACAATATTTTGTGTCATCCTGAGACCATAACTTTTTCCCTTCTCATTATCGAAATCTGCTGAATTCAGCACAGAGTGTCCTCGTCTGGACCTAGTTGGTATCAGGCAATCGAATCCTGACATGCATTTCGACATGCCAGCGGAGAAGGTAGCGAAAGTCGTGGCAGCTGCTAAGGCTAGGGTGCACGGCAATGATAGTTGTCGAAGCTTTGATGCTAATGAGAGTGAGTTCGGAGGGGTGTGGTATGAGATTACATATAGGCTTACTTGGTTGGACATCCAACAACGTGGTAGATTTATTTCCCACAGGTCCACTGAGCGAAGGCTCTGGCTTCATGAGCACGCCAGTTTCTCGGCATAACTCATCCGTTTTGGGAGAAGAGTCTTCTGAGACTCTCAAGCAACGATACGTCCGCCAGAAATTCACAAGTAAGTTTATTTCCATCTCTGAGATTTTCTATTGCTTGTAGATCCTCGTAGTGTGCCCAGGGGCGCACTTGACCCATCACGACGGGTGGTGGTAAGGCGACGATAACTGTTTGCGGAAGATTTCACTGTTTAGTGCATGCATGAACGACTTCCTCCATTCTTGGGTATCTGGGTGTGCGTATCCTATTCATAACATAATCTTCGCTGCGCGTAATTTCCTTCAACGTTACTCTCTTACGTATTGGTGCAACACCGGTGGTGTTGCGTTATCAGTTGGTTCTTCCCATCTGCACTGTGGACGAATCGGTGTGGCCAGCGTGAATTCCTCGTTCGATTTACTTGACGAGTGATAGGATGAGAGGATTACCATTGTGGGAATCGCGGGAGGGGGAAATATTTTGAGTCTATACAGGATGCTAAAAGTAGGATGCGCCTTGGTCGTGTAGCTCCAAGCCAGTGGTAATTATCCGGAAGTTGCATTCCTGAATAAGCAATCCTGGAAGTTCCGATCCATGTTCCATACCACTATAGTATTAGTCGTAGATTGTCAAAGCAAAATGCTGAATATGGTTACTTATCCTCTTTGGTTCCAAACTGGTAGCCTGGGAATGGGTTCGCATCTGTTCTGCTAATTCATTGTTTTGAAAAATCCGGTGCAGGAGAAATACTATTCTTATGATGCGAACTCCAGCCGTATAGTTAAACTCGTAAACCCGAATGCATCATCGGTGGAGCAACGGCGAAGTATATGACTAATAGGTTCACATCAATTCAAAATCGGCAAGACGCGTTACGAATATCTGGACGTACCGGGATTTGAACCCGGGGCCTTCTGCATGCGAAGCAGACGTGATACCACTACACCATACGCCCTGATGAGCTTATTAGATAGTGGAGGCGCTCATACCGTACCAGCGGAGTAATCAGGAACTTCCCGATCCTCAGTCGGTCTCAGTGTTGGTTGAAGCCAGAGGCTTACTCCTAAGAAGCGATGCTCCCTGCTTCATTGAGAACTTGTTCACCTGTAGGTCTCCATGAAGCTCATGAAACATCATGGGGCGTATGAATATTAAAGGTTGCACTCATTTCCGGCTGGTTACGGGTAAAGGCTTCATCGGGTTCTGAGGTCGACACAATCTCGTCAGGGACACCTGAAGGCACATCTTTGGAGCACCCAGTGGGTCCTGAGCATGCAACTCAGCGCTCAAGTCGAGTAGGTTTTGGAACTCGTTACGCGGCAACTTGCACAGTCTCATGCGCAACACAAGACTTAGCACACAGAGCTTAGCGCTCAGGTCTGTTCTGAACGGACTGCGTCGTAGCCATCACACAGCTAGCACCAGGCACTGTTTCGGCGTTGCCGAGAGGCTATCGAACCCGAAGCGCCGTTTCCGCTGTCAGTAGCATGAGATGACTGATGTGTTCCTGTCTCGTGTCTGGAGGGACGACTGCGCTGAGTTTTGAACCTCATCCTAATACTCTTTCATTACACGTATCTACAGGTCCTCGACGGTCCTCCGCATTGTAGATGTAACACTTTCATGTCACATGAAATGAGACATGAATCATGAGTCTATACCGTCCGGGGCCATTGAGGAGCCTTTAACGCAGAAAACGGATGAGGGAATGCGTTAACGATGTAAGTTTACGCAGGACACACAGTTGCATACACATGTGAGAACTCAGAGAAACATACGCTACGACCAAAGAAAACAGTGAAATTTGACGCACGTTGACAATCGTTGCAGGGTTACATCTATTACAATATAGACTAACCTCAATTTCATTGAATCTATTCTGGACTTCCGAATCGATCCTAGCATCGCGTTATACGTGTAATTAGCTATTCTAGAATCCATTCTGAGTTTCGAAATCGGTATAATGAACGACCCCTATTCCTAAATCGGTTCCGATATCGATTATTTGGGCGTGCGCTTTCTACGACGAGTAATAATTCACGGGGAGTTCACTAAACTGCTTAGGATCCATCTCAGGGCTGATCTCGTCGAGCTTTACTAAACTCCCCCGTCAATCTCGAAAGCTTCAGATCTAAGCTTCATTACCTCAGCTGAGGAATCTCCTGTGCCAAGGCTACCGCCAGGTTTTGCGATATACTGTACTTCCTTCTGCTGCGATGAGAAGACAAAAGATTGGTATGACTAGCGTTGCTTATTGATGATGTTATTTGGTTCCGATATCACCTTTCATGAGATCCCTGTGGGAAATCATGCACATGGTGAACTATGTGTCGGTGAAAATATGAAAATCCTGAGGAAATTCTTGGGAGCAATTGTTGCTTTCTGCAAACTTCTATGTGAAATTCCATGGTTAGTGAGGAAATCGCTGAGCTCCGCTGAAGAGAAACGAACATATATTCCAACACTGTGTGTTAGAGGTGGTTGCATGCGCTGAGTTTCGTCGGAGTTATTCATTTCATTATTAGTTGAGGAGGGTAACGAGTTGCATTGTCATTCTGGAGGCATCGGGCTCAAATCCTTGCAGGTTTTCCTCGACTATGATTATTCCTCTCATCATAGCCGTCCTCGCCTTTCCCTCTGTTGTTGCCGTTGCCGGGGATGTCGCCGTCCTCGAGAAATGCGTTGTTAAAAGCAATACCGACGTGATTGCGGTGGGATGGCAAAGTGGAAGCTCGACAGGTGATGCACGACTATTATAGTGACAACCATCTGGGTCGAGAATTGCTGCTCTCAGTGTTGCGATATATTTTTGCTTTCTTCAGCTGAGCTTTTAGGAGGTTCCTCACTAGTTATAGGATCCGCGGGGGACTTGACAGGAATAAAAAATTTGCCCTAAAATGTCCATATTGTCATCGAAGTGTTCATTTTCTCCCCACACGGGTGTTCATGTTATTAGACCCTCTTGCGAGAAAATCCCAAATCTCACTTTGCGATTCGTAGAATGTACGTTTGTTGTTGATCTGATAGCACCGTTCAACAGGCACTGTTAACAAAAACGCGGTCATTTCTGACAGCGGCCACCCCTCGGTAAAGTGCGACTTCACCACGGCTGAGTCCTACCCGGCGCAAGTGGCGCTGATGATGACATTCAAGGAAGGTAGTCTTGTTGTGGTTACGCTGGTTCGTAATCGGCTATTTTATAGGTGACCATGTTGTTGGTGCTCCGGACGTGCAAGTGATTGAGATGACACGTAGGGCTTTTAGAACGAGTTGGGGGAGTTTTGGTATGCCGCACGCAGCGCACGCGACTCTTCTGGAACGTACACTGCTGATATCCTATGGCTGGCACAGAGCGATCACCCCTAGGGACGGAAGTAGGGGCAGTCTATCGTGTTGGAGAATGATGCTCGCTTCCTCACTGAGCTCGGGAGTTTCCTCATTAATTATAGAATCGGGTAGAAGTGTATGGAAACCACGAGGAAATTCCGAAAATTTCCTCATAATTTTCATATTGTCACCAACACATGCAGTTTTCCCACACTGGCGACCTTAGATATGACTTGACGATCTTGGTGGGAGATAGCATGATGCCAACAGGCGTGCAGCAGCCGCTAGGGGCTGTCCCTTTCGAGTTCCACCAGGTAGATGATTTACGCGAGTTACGGTATGAAAATACGGTCAAGTTCAGATGACCAAGGACGCGTTGAGCAAGAGCAGCATCCCAGGGAGTGGCGACCTTAGTACCACTACGAAATCGGCTGGTATTGATAAAACTTGTCGACCTGATGGATTCCCGCATGTTCAGCTCGCTATCTTCCTCTACCGTTGATCGCCCACACGTTCAAGCCAGCGCAGAAGACCCCACCGTTCGTCATCACCGCGGTGTTTGTTGTAGAGGGCGTACGGCTAGAAGTGTTACACGGTCTGCTTTGTAGGCTCTGACTACTGTCATCCCGCTGCTGGCTTTCTTGAGGGGGTTGGGGTTACTCAAGGTCAACATGGAATTGTGGAAAATCGACGTGCATGGGGTAGGACGATAGGCAGATTTTGACGTTTATGTGCGCGTTCAGATGGTGTTTTTCGGCACGCTCGCGGCGTATTTGGCGGTACTCGGAATGTTTTTTCTTTTTCTCAATCTCATCCAGACGATGATTTTGTGTTCGCTTCTGTTGCCAATTGCGATCATCTCGGGAAACAAGGTGCGTGTGCATGCGTGCAAATAATCAATACCAACTTTTGGTAATTTTTTGTGCAGGTATTGTGTCAAAGTAGAGCCGACAGAGTGAAGACAGATTGAGAGAAGTGGAGTCTCGTTTTTACAGCTGATGTCTTTCTCGGCGGATGGTGTATAGTGTTGAGTTAAAATAGAGTTGGCGGGGATCGAACCTGCGATCTCACGTAACGATAGTTGAGGAAATACGAGCCTAACAAGTTCGCGAGAGGAGACCTTTAATACGCTATATAGAGAACCGAGTACTCTAAACTAACCTTTGTCGTGGTTGTATGGGTTGAAGATTACGAGCAGTTGACTTACCGGCGACAAGACTTTGAACACCTGGACTTTCAAAGGGGAGGGTGAAGCAGAGATGCATGTAAGGATGTTGAGGTCCACTCATATAATATCGCGGCAAGATACCATACACTGAATTCGGTATAGTTGAAAGTGGATAAAGCTATCGAGGTGTCCTATAGAGTTTCAAAAGTGCTCCCAGGCTCAAGTTTGACATGTGAAAACCAATCTAAGATCTACTGAATACGCTGTGTGGTGGTATTGTGTCGAAGGGGACAGAATGCGATTTTAGCGTTACCAGAATTAGCCACAACGAAGATACTTCTATCTCTTATTGCTGCTCATAGCGTCGTCTCTTCGTAGTGGTCTTGATGAGATTTGTCCAGTAGAGGATGGTTGAATTGCAGTTTGGTTAAGTTGTACCTTCATCTGGATGCTTTCTCGTTCTACTGCTCGCTGTGCCCCCGCCGCCCTTGCTGGCATTCGTCAGCGTGCCATGCAGACTGGCCTTAAAAGTACGTAGTCGGTGGTAATTTTCATTAGGAAGTTCTTCCTTCCCCTCAGAGTTCATAGCGTTCCCTGAGGTCACTGATGAGCGTGTTATCCCCGCTGTTGCTAAGGTCCTCAAGGAGAAGATCGCCCAACCCGTAGGGAACCTGCTTCGCATCTCACCTGTGGTATCTTCGATATAGGTGCTGGTTGGTGATCGCGAGGCGGCTTACAAGTGCGCGAAGGCTAACAACGTGTCTCTTGAAGGTGTGAGGATCATTGACCCTTCCCTTCACCCTGAAGTCGTCGAGCAGACAGCAACTGTCTTGTGGGTCTACTGGATCTAGGAAGTGGGGAAGTTACGGTATGAATGCTCAGGTTCCAGAAGCGTCAGAAGAAGGGTATGACTCTCGATGCTGCTCTTGATACTGTGAAGAACTCCCCTCTCATGATGGCCGACTTGATGTTGACCACTGGTCACGTTCAAGGAGTAATTCAACACCCACCTACTGGAAGGAGTTATTATTATTTGTCATTTTAGTGTGTCGCCGGAGCCTCTCATACCTCTGCTGATGTGGCCAGAGCCGCCTTGCAGACTGTTGGTGTAAGCATGCAA